TCTGAGTACGGATAAAAATCTTAGCTCAAAAGATAATTTAAAAGATTACAATTAATTACCTCGCCATGTGCCCAAAGGCTCCTTAAGCTTTTCAAATGTCGTATTGAAAATTGGATATTTCAAGACAATTTGCTGATAGTAAAAATTTTCACCGTTCATTTCACTTTGGTTGAATGTTCTCCAGAAGAGCCGTTTACCACGTTTTAAAACATATTCATCTTTACCCGAATAAACAATTTTAGGTAAATCGCTATCATGGAAATCAGTGGCAACGTGATCAATTTCATCTGGTAGAACCTCAGGTCTTTCATCAGAATCATCGTTGGTACCAGCAGCCCTGGTATAGAAACAAAAAAAATCAGGAAATTTAACATCTTTTGCACCAGATCTCTTTTCATAGATTTCTAAAAAAAAAAAAAAATTAGTTTCTTCGTCACAAAACGATGAGTAGTAACTTACCAACGTGGGTTCGCATGTATATTTCGGTAGTGTTTTCATCAAAATCCTTGATATCATTTTTAATTCGTCTTGTATCTTGAGTTACGAGATTGGTGTTTAAAAAAATAACGCCTCTTGAATTCCTATGTTTATGCCACCCCATCACATCATATGCCGCCTCAACTGAGCCAACAATTCTCGTTGTATAGTGATCTTTTTCAGACACAAAGGACGTTTTCTTATAATACCCAGAATTTTTTTGCTGAACATTTTTTAATAAAACCTTGGCTTCATAATCATCTTTGGCAAGATACTTGGCTAGATAGCGTACAGCTTGAGGACCATCGTTATACTGAATGTCCATGCTAGTTCGAAAAGTGGCCAAAAGATACGGATTGTAGTTATTCACCATTCCATCACCAACATCACGCCTATAAGTGCAACGATGATCAGCATCCATTTCAGTCTCAGGAGCGTATGGCTTGGGAAATCCAAAACGACACTTCCTCAATGGGTCACCTCGTTTGCAATAACTAAAAGTGGCCATAAAAAATTAATTATCGTACATTTAAATCAGTTTGGGTTCACTTACTTGAGATTACACTTGTGGATCTGAAGTCTGTTTACAAGTCCGTGTAACAAAGGGTCATCAAAAGACGTGCCGGATGGAAACCAAGTATGAACGATGTTGAGATTGATAAGCTCTTGAACGTTTTTTACAGTCCAAAGTACACAGTGAATGTGAGGACTACCTCTGTCTTGTATCTCCATGACCCAACTATACTCCTGGATACCTCCGATTTGATCAGCAAAATGTTTAAGAATGTGCTTCTGGAAAAATTTCTGCCATTTTCTTTTAAAATGAAGAGAAAACAAAATTGGATCTTCCCAAGGATTTTGTGCATCACCTAAACCTTTGAAATCGCTGCTCTTGTCGTCACATGAGAAAGTCAAAAAAAGTTGTGGTGAACCGAGGTTTTCAAAAATACATTGCAAGTCCAAGAAATTTTTTCGCTTGTACGCATAGGATGAACGAATTTGTGGGGGAACCGTTGACACAATATTCTTGTTGAGCTGTTTAGTAACACTGTCTACAATGTCTCTTTTTTTCAAATTTCCTCTGCCTTTTGTAGATACGACGAACCTATTGGCGGAAGCAATATTTTTTTTCTCTATGGAATCAAGCATAAAAAAGAGAAAAGATGGATCCATTGCAAAGCGACGATCTTTTAACATTAAACGACTTTTAGCAAAGCTGGCTAGTGTTTCACCATTTAAAGTAGAGGCAGCTACACCACCACAATTTTCCGGAATACCATAAATTCCAGTCAAGTTCTCAAATTCAGGTACATTTGATGGAACCATAGAATAGTGACCTTTACAATGGGGAAAAAGATCTGGGAACAGCAAAGCAATCAAACTTGGATGTGAATACCTCACATATTTTCCAACGCTATCTTCTCCGATAATCAGATCTTTAAACTCTACATCAGTAGCTTGGGGGTTTCTATCATCTTTTGCAAAGAGTGCATTGTTTCTCCATCCATCAGTAGCACCAATAAATTTGCTGTTCTCATAGACATGGTAATTGACCAAAGCGTACGTAAGCTTGGGCAGACTATAACGAGCAATAAGAGGATTAACCTTTTGGAGAGCCTCATAAGCAGCAGTGACCTTGATTTTATTAATAGTGGCTGGATCACCACGTTGGAAAAAAAGACTGAGAGTACCACCGTAGGCCATCTCGGCAAATTCAAAGTTATGTGTGTTATAAACGGAACCCTTAAGCTCATAATGACCAATTCGACTGTTGTACAATGTTGTTTTTCTTGTTATTTGAGACATCAGTTTTATAGGGGACAATACGGACTTTTCTCTGTAGTTTAAGTCTTTGGTTTGAGGGAGAGTTTCGCCTAATTAAATTTGGTTACAAATTAGTCCTATGAATGCATCCGTAATTTTAATTAACCAACCTGGATACGTGTACTTGATAAACTTTTCTTCTTCAGTTTTGAAATGAGTACCACAAACCATATACTTGGTGTCATTGGAGGGACACACTTTTGGTTGCAAATTCCAGTCAACACAGGGTAAAGCATTGGGCTCTCTGATAAAACGAAACTTTTCTTCTTCTGGATATAAAACCTTCATACATACACAGCAGAAACCACTGGGTTTTTCCTTAATAAACTTTTGAAAGTCATTGATTTGCTTTTGCTGTACTTTGGAAAAACTAGAAAGATTTCTATCACCAACACGGAATGAGAAGAACATGTTTTAAAACAATTTGTTAATTAATGAAGAAAGATTTTGTTTTTTGGTAGTGCATTTATATACTGTTCAATGTTATCCAAAATTTTACATGCTGCACTACTAATAGTATTACAGTAAACTTATATTTACATATTGCACGTTTTTGTTTATCAATCACTTGTATAATTAGATTTTATAAGTAACATCATGTGCGATTCATGCAAAACTTTATTTTAAAGGCTAAAAAGTTAACAATCCATGGCATCTTTATTCAAAAAAGTGGAAACAGGGAAAGGAAGATTTCCGTTCAGAAGATTCTGAAGAGTGAAGGCTGGATCACTCCAATCAGTTCTCTTAACTTCAAGATTGTAAGAGTAGACAGTCTGTGTGGTCCTGGGTACAGGCCTACCATAGGCATTGGTTTCAGGACGAGAAATTTTTTCAGTCGTTGAAACTGGATTAAATCCACCAACGATAAGTTTCTTGTTCACTATTTGAAAAAATAAATAAATGTGAGTATTACTTCTCATGATAAGCGAATATAACGTATATTTGCGTACCTAAAGCGTCATGCATGGTCGACAAAGCCTTGGCGAAAGAGTCCAAATTGTGTGTATCCTTCTCTGTGTATTGCCAAAAACAATCTTATCATTGCTGATATTTTCCCACACATACTTGTGAACCAGATATTTGAACTTCGTCAAAGGTAACGACTCAATATCACAAAGTCTGATTCTTTTTGCGTCTGTGGGAATGACGTTTCCCTCTTCGTCGGTAATGGCCAAAGGTCTGATGTTATGGACATTCAATTTGACACTACAAAATGCTCTGTTAGAGTCATCAAAAGTGAAAGCAGTGATATTCAAAGGTCCTTTTAATAAAAAAAATGTTACTTCAAATTTTTGGAATTGATATGACTGAAAATTACCAGTGATATAATGCTTTGCCCCAACAGAGCAAAATCTCAAAAAGTAATACTGAAAAACTGGGTTTGAGGTGAACAACTTGACATTGACACCCGAGTCGACAGCCTTGGCTTCCATAGACACATGTCTAGACGTGATGCGGAACATGGGGGCCATGGTAATACTTGAATCGCTGAGTTCTCCCAAAAGCATTTTGTTAATAATAAATTAATTGTGCATGATAATTGTGTAGAATGCAAAAGGTTTTATAGCTCTTTCTGTTACACGGGAATCGCAAATGTTGTCGAAAATTAAGCATGAATAATTAAGAATCGGAGATATCCACGAGAATCGCAGAATCACAAGCCACTCTTACGATAAATATCCTATCTTGAAACTTCAGTACAGTAGTGACATTACCTTAATTAAAAACTCTATCATACGATTAATCCGTCATATGATCTTTTGTATGAAGTATTACAAACTAATCAGAATTTATCATTTTAAGAGATAGCATACCGTGTGAATGTTTCAATATAGATACTTGTACTTCTGACACTTCAATTAAACATTGGCTCTTAAAAAATTGGAATCGAAACTCTATCAATGTACACATAGTAATATTTGACACAGAAATGTGTGCTTACCCCTGAGTATTTTTAGACAGCAAATATGAGCGATTTTGAATATTGCAACGTACGGCATACTAAAATCATTGCCAATAATAAAAAAAAAAGTTTGTCTCACAAGATAGTGCTTTAATATCTCGTTTTTATTTGAAGAACTAGTAATACCAAAAGTCAATGTCACTTCAAAATATTCACACAGGCACAAAATGTACAAAAGGCATATGCAAAGATAGTCTTAAAATCTTTAAAATTCTTTTGCCTTTTTAAAGTAACTCTTTTTTTTTTCACGACAACTTCTTAAGAAGTATATTTGGCGTCTTTCTTTCGCTTTAAAAACATGACGGTACCCTCAACATCTCTTGAGAACCATAATCATGGCCCTTCAAAGACACTAACACGCTCTTTTCGAGATGTGGCTGCACAAGCCTTACCACCTCGAGCATACCGAAATAATCCCAATTCGAAATCTCGAATTACCATCTCTCTTGGAGACTCCACCTTCAAACCCATTACTGACCTTAAAGATCAAAAACCAGCCATTCATCGTAATAGTAGTTATAAACATGCCGTCTTTTACTTTGTTGAAAAAGAATCTTTAAACTTAATGCCTGAATTTCAAAAAGCACGTAATGTGCGTTTTCCTTTTGGTACCTGTCTCGGTACTCATGCCACTGATGACAGTCAGGGCAAAATTATCGAAGTCATTTTGAATGACCAATCAGCTGTCGACGATGCAGTAAACAATCCTATTGTTATTGGGCACGACAGAAAGTTTTACGCCACTCCTGCTGTCCCTCAGGACAACATCATTTTGAAGGTCCATCTTTCAAAATTACCTTTCTTGCCAGTAGCCGATCTACACACCACGTTGGTCGACAATTTTTCTCGTTTCGGTAACGTGAGAGACGTCACCATTTACCTCGACGATGAGTCCAACACAGCTTTCTGTGGCAACGGTGCTATCTTCTTGGACAGATCAATTGATCCAGCTAACCCCAAAGCCTGGGATAAGCTCACGTATAAAATCGATTTAGGTAACCAGTCCTTCTGTCTTGGTAAATGGGCTAAGATGGAATCCCATTGTGTATATTGCAAACAAATGGGTCATACCCGTAAGGACTGTCAAGAGATTCCACCCATAAGTAAGACGTGTTACCTGTGTGATCGACGTGGTCATCTAGCCCGCCATTGTCCCCGCGCTCACGATAACTCGATCGCATCTTCAAAAAAGCGAGTTCGTAACGAAGAACAACCTTTGGTCCCAAGCATTAATAAGGTTTTAATTAATACTGTACCGTCAGTCAATGTGGACGATAATGTTACCACACCCAGTACCACCGCAGTCAACCCAGCCAACGAGGATGTACCAGTGCTTCAACCATCCAACTATTTTATGGTATTATCAGACAATGAATCCATGATGGATGTTTCTGAAGATGATAATGATCGGTTAACAGATGCTGAAGAGCCACCACTTCTTTCAAACGATTCACCAGTCATCGTTGAAGAAAGATCGGCCGCCAATACCAGTGTCCCCAAGACTACCCCAACCACAGTTGCCAATTCTGCCACAACTCACCAGCGAGTCTCTCCTCGTGCTAACAAAGGTGTCGCTGCTGTCAAATATGACCCTTCCTCCTCTTCACCGATATCTTCCATTCGGAAGACGTCTGCCTGATGAGGAGGCAGATTTAAGTATCTCCAACATTTTTCTTTAAAAAAAAAAAAAAAAAAAAAAAAAAAAAACATTTCACTCTATGAATTTACATAATTCAAATCATTCAACCATTACTAATTCACATACCACTACAACAACAGAGTGGGTAATTCCTTCTCCTTCTAATATTACTCAAGAACCATTTTTGGTGGAATCATTCCTTTCAAGCACTATCAGGATTGCTACCTTAAACTGTCGCAGCCTTGTCAAAACCAATGAACCTTCTCGTCGTCAAGACTTTATCCGCTTTCTGCGTAAACAGAACCCACCTCTAGACATTATTACTCTACAAGAAACACACGCTTCAACTACCGAATTGAAGCTACTTCTTGATAATTTATTTCAAACCAAACAAACAGTGTGGAGCAAACATTGTGGCATTGTTTGCTTTAACCCTTCATTACAGCTAACTCCAGATTTCATAACAATAGACCAACGGGTGATAAAGTGTACCATTACTCATGTTCAACGTACCTTTGATCCTCTCACTGTTGTTACTATATATGCGCCAGCACAACTCGCCGAGCGTCAGCAATTTTTTTCAGGCATCATTGAAATGCCTTTTCTTCGCTCCAGTGACGATATGTCTACAGTCGATCTTCCCTCCAGTACGCCAAGTTTGCCTACTCGAACAATCATCACTGGTGATTTTAATTTTAGTCTTAGTGTGTATCCAATACTTTGTCTGGCACACGAGCTTTGGCTAACCACCAAGTTCGCTGGAATCAAGAGCTTCAATCCAATTTTAGAAATTGCTTGGACTCAGCTACTATATCACCGACATTTCGACGGGGTCAACAGATGTCTACTATTAATTATATATATTCGACAACTGATTTATTCTCTGATAAAATCAAATCCAACGTGGAATTTATATCACCAGCATGGACTGACCATGCTCTTTTGACCTTTTCTTTTAAGTGCAGTTTTACCCATTTAGGAAAAGGACTTTGGCGAGCAAATCCGGCCTTAGCTTCTAACCCAAAATTTTTGGATTCAATGCACCACGAGATAGATAAAGCCTGCTCAATGTTTCCTCCTAATCTTAGCCCTCAGCTTCGATGGGATCGTATCAAGGAAACTGTTAAAAAAGTTGCACGTAAAACGGGTCGTCATCATGCCAATTGGCGCAAGAAACATTTAGATGTGCTACAGCAAAAACGAACTTATATACTCAACGACGCATCATTGACTCCTGCTGTTTTGCAATTTAAACTTTCCAAAGTGGAGGCAAAAATTCAAGGTCTGCAAGAGGAAATAACTACCAATGACTCTTTACGAGCCAAACAATTTTGGAGGGAAACAGGTGAATCTTCGCCTTCTTTCCTAAAACGTTCTATTACAGCTCGCCTCACTAAGAGCTTCATTCCGGAATTGACACATCCAGTCACATCAGCATCATGTACAACTCCTGCAACTTTGACCGGTGCCGCTCATTCTTTCTATCAGAATCTATATACTCCAGACGACATCGATGTAAATGCAACAGATCAGCTAGCTAACACAATACCTAACATGTGGTGCTTGATGATAGTCAACGCGAATATCTGTTAACCGAATTCACTAAAGACGACTTATTGGAAGCTGCTAAACGAACTCCCTCACAAAGTAGTCCCGGAATAGATGGAATTCCATATCAAATACTCTTTCATGTTTTACATAATGCAACTGCAATACGTGTGGCTATACAAGTGTACAATGATGCTCTCATGGAAAGTATTTTTCCTCCTAGTTGGAACAAAACTTGTATGATCCTACTCCCCAAAAAAGGTGATCTCACCAATCTAAGTAATCATACACCAATTAGTCTGATCAACACAGATGCCAAACTCTTTACTCGCATGTTGAATTCCAGGTTAATGATGTACATGAATGATCTGATCAGTCCACAACAGATGGGATTTATGCCTAGTCGATTCATTGGTGAAAATGGAAAAACTTTGCAAGCTGTAATGTCTATAGCCGAACACACCTCATCTAACGCTATTGGACTATTACTAGACCAAGAAAAAGCTTATGACCGAATCCATCCGTCATATCTAGCACGAATGATGACCCAATTTGGAATACCCAGCCCAATGATATCGTCACTTTGCACTTTATTTTTTAATACCAAGATTCACATCAACATTAATGGCCACCTGTCAACACCTGTTTTACAACAACGAGGTCTACGGCAAGGTGATCCCATTTCACCTCTGCTGTTTAACATTGCTTTTGATCCATTCCTTCGTTCTATTCAACAGGCAACAAATTTCGATGGCTTCACTTTTCCAGAATTAGTAGCCGAACCATCCCCGGAGTCTTTAAAAGTTATGGCCTATGCCGATGACACTCTTGTGTTTTTACAGTCCCATCAAGATTTTATTTGCTTAGAACGACTCATTAACCAGTATACCCTCGCCTCCAATGCCAAACTAAATTTTGCTAAAACCCAAGCTTTCTCCTTGTCAGGCAAATCAAGTCACTATTGGACGACCTACCTCAGTTCAAGGGAAACACCCATTACTTCATGGCATGATCGACATTCCCCTACTGCTCTAATCTACCTTGGATATCCACTATACTTTAACGCATCCCAGAAAAACCTAGCGATCGACCTATTAATACAAAAGATACAACACGGATGTGATATTCACTCTGAACGTAACTTATCCATTAAAGGCCGAACCGTAGTTCTCAACACCCTTCTGCTCTCCAAATTATGGCACGTATTACGAATAGTTCCTCTGACCAAAGGTCAAATTGATCGCTTACGAGGAATTTGCAGCACTTTTCTTAATGCATCCCGATTTCCTCGAATTGCATATCGCAACTTTGTTCCGTACAAAACAAAAGGCGGTGTTGGCATTTTGGATCCTCTAGTTCAACAACTTAAACTCCACTGGCGTTGGCTGGCTGACTTGATTATTGCTCCCGCAGTGCTACAACAGCCTGTATATAATGATCGGTCTTTTCTACACACGTGTGTCCCCTATCTCAAATACGGCCTATCCCTCATTGCATCTGGAGGAGCCTTCTCTCAACTATGGCCACTGCTGTTTTCAACAAAAAGACGAGGGTTTCGTTCGTTAACATCCAATTCTTTCGTGTTGCTTTTCTCCCTTATGGACTCCTTCCCAACCTGTGACATTAGTCAGTCTAACCTGTCGTTGGCGACAATTCTACACTTGGATTTGGCTTCAATTGTTATTCCAGCTCCGCGAACGCCTGACATTCCAGCCTCTGCATCGCTTATTTCCGTGGTCTTTCCTCGTAACAGCGCCAGTATGTCAAAGATATTGGTACGCGATTTCTTCATAGTGGATCCCGATACACATATCTTTCGACAACGATCTGATCGCGAAACTAGATTTCCAACGTTACTTCGTAAGTTCCGTGTAGCAAACGCCAGTGGGTGTATCCAGTCTACAAGCAACTTCGGTCGTCTCCTGGGTTCTCGAATAGAGTCCACTGGGTCTATCGATCTCCGTCCTCTTCTCGACTCTCAAATGTCCACATTTATTCTGGCATTCGATAATCCGAAACAATTGGGAATACTGCTACGTGATTCTTTGTTTCCTCCAAAGCCCACTACCACCTTTAGTATAGGCAAATGGAAAAACTTTTGGGGTTTACCCATCTCCCCCAGCATTCTTACAATATGGTATCGTGCGATTCATCACAAGTTGCCTAACAAAAGTCTCTTACACAGTATCATCCCGGACTCCTTTCCTACTGCTGGTTGTATCCATTGTCCACAAACTGAGGATACTTTACACCACTTTCTATATGACTGTCCCACTAAACAAGCTATCTGGCTTCAGTGTTTGTCTACCTTCTTTCCAAACGTAACAATCGTACCTGGTCGAATACTATCCATTCTCCTTGCGCTTGACTTCGGTGATTTACACAACACAAGATCTCCTGTTGCCACTTCGTTGACGTTTATATCCGTTATAGGTTGTATATTGCAAGGGATCTGGAGATCCCATTGGCAACTAGTGTTTGACGATCAACCTTTCACTACCACCACGGTACTAACACGCTGCCTGTCTATCGTATGGCAATTACACTTTCAATCGCTGGCTGATTAGTAGTACATTATTTGCCTTTAAGAAATACGTCGACCGTTTTATTTGTCCTCATTGTCACCCCTTGACATTATGCTTTGTTACTTTACAAAAAAACTACAATTATAAAAATCTCACCCCCCTTTTAGTCCCACCGGGACATTAAATAAAATTTTGAAAGACAGCTGCGCTGCCTTTCCCTACAAAAAAAAAAGAAGTATATTTGGATTGTTGAACTTATAAAGGCAACAACTAGAACTTATTTTTAGCAATCATTGATCCAAACGTTTTATGGAGTCAATAAAATTACTGTGTGAAGAAACCCTTATCTGTACTCTGGTGTGTGTAACATTGTAAGTAAATCAAATTTTTGGTAGTCTATAATTTTTTTATTGAATTAGATTTTTTTGAAGGAGAATACAATTTAATATGAGAACTTGGGCATATTAAGTATGAACATATTAACGTCAGTCTTTTGGAATAAAGAGTAACTTTTTCTATCGTTGCACATTGTACAATAAAACTAATAAATTTAACAGCTAACTAAGCCCAAGATACTGAACATACTGAACATACTGATAAGTGGGAGAATCTGTATGGAATTTAAATTGGTACATACAGACTTTGTAATTTTTTGGTTGCATATATCGTGTGATTTTTAAATGTGGCATGTTACATTAAATCGCTACTTGTCTGGATGCATTAATCCTGATACAATAGCTTGTACCTGAATTTGTGTTAATTGCTTGTACCACCCAATCTTAAATTATATGCAGATGTTCGATTTCAGAAAACATATTCCTTTTTGTAATTTTTTAAGTTGGCATAATGCAATCTATTGTTTCAACATTTATTGGATTATTATTTCCTCATGCATTAGAATTCGATAGCGACAGCAATACAGTTTACTTTCTGTTATATGAGACATATTCAGCGTATGCAACCATTGCTATAAAAAAACTACTCGAAGTGGCTAATGATATATTTTTGTTTTAACAGACGCTACAGTGTTAAAATTATTGCGGACAAGGAGTTGGTAAGGAAGGCTTTTACTGATTACGAACCCACCTGGACGCTTGATAGTTTGGTAAATAAAAACGACCAATCATAATATCTGCAACCGGCACAATGCAACAGCAAACAGCTGGTGCTGCATTTCTTGGTAGGGTTGTTGAAGAAAAATTTCATATGGAATTGCTATCACTGTCTATAATTCCATGCGTCCCACTAGTTTGTAATAGTTTAAAACGTATGGTGCATCCGGAAGTTGGTCCTACACAATTAAGTGAGGGTGTAAAAGAAGGCTACTTTCTGGTTAATCTTTCCGCCGTGCAAAACTTTCACATCGGTCCTGAATTTTTCGAATCTACCTTTGCTGTCAATGATGACTTGGGTATTATTACTATTTTTATTTTCAAAAAAAAAAAAAAAAAAAACGTAGATGTAACATGGGTAATTATTAATATTTATAACATTAATAGAACGTATGGACACTCTATCAGATAATGGACAACCTACAAATCTTGCGGATGATCAAGAAATTCAAGATCCCGACGTCTTATCGTCTACCCGTCATAATAATCGTAGTCAAATGGAAGACGCTGAGGAAGAGTATGATTCTGAGTCGGAAGCAGAAGCAGCAGCGGCAGAATATTACAGATCAAGTAGACGATTTTCAGATTCTAGTGACGATGACGACGGATTTAAAATTACAGAACACAAAAAAAACGTAAGTTAATTTGCTTAATATGGCGTATTTCATTAACCCTGGAATAAAATTTTCACTAACTCCTAAATCTTTTTTTATCCAACTAAAAAGAGCAATACAGTAACATCTGTTGACGAAGAAATCAAACAAACTGACCAAGTTATTTTTGACGAAGATGGAAACGAAATTGACGAAGACTTAGATAGAATACATAGATATGTAGAAGAAATTGAAAAGGAAATAGTTCAACAGTCCAGTAACACTGTGTCGAAAGAACATGCTCAAAGTACAAATAAAAACACCGCAACAGAGGAGTCTAGTGAAGGTAAACGTGCAGTTATGAAAGAAAAAAATTGAAACATGATTATAATTTTTTTTATTAGCTGCCTCTCGATCTGACAGCCAATCAACAAAACCGAAGTCTAGAAGAATAATTCAACCAGTAAATACCGATGATATATATGTACCACACTTAACTAATAACTTGGAAAGTCTCAAGTCGCGTGACAAAGGAAAAGCTCGTGATTATGGGAATACATCTCATATCCAAGACAACGTGAATCATCTATTGACATCATCATCGGCGGATATACAGTGTCAAGCAAAACTGTTACAATGTTTTAAAATTTCATGGAATTTACGCAATTACGACCCTTTCTGCAAGACAAAATGCAGCATAAGTTATATCGATCGATAGCCTTGCTTATCAGCTACTAGCCAGTAGTTTTTGTTTTTAATTCGGAGCTTAAATTACATAGGTTGGGCTATAATTGAAATGCAGCGGTCCATTGTAACAGTTTTGCACGGTTCATTTTTTTATGAAAAAATCGACACCACAAGTCGGTAAAATTTTTTAAATTAGTTAAGACAGTTTACAAATGTTCTTGTTTTACTGTTCTTCATATTACTTCAAGTTTCTTATATTTTTCCATAGTATTTTTTGAAACTCAGATAGAATAATTATAAAATGCGCTCCATTCAAGAGTCTCAAAAAAACAAGATCATTTCCATGCTTAATAATGGTTCCACAATACGGCAGGTGGCTGATCAGGTCAGTGTAAGTACGGCGACAGTGTCACGTGTGGGAAAAAGTCACTGTTCGGATCGGGAGAAGAGAAAAGGGGGACGACCTGAAGTTCTCACTGGCGCAGACAAGCGCTATTGTGTCCGTTTGGTGACTAAAGGTCGGGTGGATAGTGCTTCCAAGGTTAAGAAACAGTTCGAAATGGACCATAGCAGGACAGTTAGTGTAGACACAATCAAACGTGCTCTAAAAGGTAGTGGTCTCGGCGCAATTCCTAAACCAAGCAAGCCATTACTCAATGCTCGCAATGTCAAGAAGAGATTAGAATGGTGTCAAGCCCATCGACATTGGACCTTAGAAGATTGGAAACGCGTGGTATGGTCCGACGAGACGAAAATCAATCGGTTCAACTCGGACGGTCGTGTCTGGGCGTGGATTCGTGACGGTACCCATCTTAAACCTCAACATGTCAAGATGAGCGTCAAGCATGGCGGTGGTAGCATTATGTTATGGAGCGCTATTACATACGCAGGAACTGGGTGGCTGTGTAAGATTGATGGGAACATGGACAAGCATCTTTATAAAAACATTTTGGAAGATGAACAAAATGAAACCATCAACTATTTGTGCCGGGAGTTGAAGTTTAAGCGTAGCCAAATAGTTTTCCAGCATGACAATGACCCTAAGCATACCTCCAAATTAGTCAAAGCATACCTGCAGTCGCAAGATTATCAAGTTATGGATTGGCCACCTCAATCACCTGATCTCAATCCAATCGAAAATATGTGGCGATTATCAAAAATTAGATTGAACGAGTACGAAACACCGGTACATGGTATGCAAGAGCTATATGAACGGGTAACCGAAGTTTGGTATGACGTCATAACAAAAGAAGAGTGTCAAAAGGTTATTGAAAGCATGCCAAAACGTATTGAACAGTGTATCAAGGCTAAAGGCTACTGGACCAAATATTAAACACAACTTTCCAAATAAAAATCCATTTTTTTTCAACCGTGCAAAACTGTTACAATGTACCGCTTGATTTTGATTATAGTATAACCTATCCATTTATAACTCCGATTTATAAAATAAAACTATGTTATTGCAGCTGAAGTGCGAGCCTTTTTAAGGATATATTTTGAGCTATATTTGTTAACTGGGAGTTTCCTTCATAACGTAATTTCCAAAAAATTGTAAATCATTGTAACAGTTTTGCTTGACACTGTAGGACCTATTCGTTCAACCGAATTAAACAGTATATCCGAAAGCTCAATGCATCCATTTTTTAGAAAAAGGAATACATCTATGTCGTCTAATGGATCAGAAATCTCATTTGGTTCAATGCGCCGGATGTTATCTTCAGACTCCATGAATAGTGACCATAATTCTTACGGTAAACTTTAAGTCTTGTTTGAACAAAAAATAAGTCCCACTTTTTAACGCAGTATTTACAAATTAAGATTCCTCTCAAACTAACCCATCCAAAAAAAGAATGGATTCTCCGAATGATGCAGAAAAACAGTTGAATACAGTGGTTGGTATACAAACAAATGTATATATCAAAGTTGTCTTAACCGTATTCACTTACAGGGTAAACGAGCAAAAATTAACTCTCCACTACAGCTACAAAACGAAATCGATGATGTGGCACAACAGCAAATTAAAAGAAAACCGGGCAGGCCAAGAAAACAAAGCGAAAGTTCCCAATTACCAGCTTCTGCAAAAAATTTAAGTGACGTAAAGAGAGGAAAAGGGAGACCACCTAAAAAGAGTGTGGATGCTGAGCAGCCAGAGAAACAAGCATGAATAAAGCGCTTTAGCAACAATTTAAATATGACTACATTTATTAAATAAAAATGTCTGACATTGACAGATTGCTTTTCATATATTAAAATATGCAAAGTATAAATACGTATTTACAAGTACATTACATAACAACCAAGTGCTACTTATTGAAACAGCTAATTTTATTCATCATGAACAACTTGGTTTTATTTCTTATTTGAGCATAATAAATTGTTTGGACATGACTACTCATGATTGCAAAATGTGTGCAGTTCATTCTCTGGTATTGTTTTGATTTCTTATTGATGATGACACACTATCAAGCTTCACAATTTAAATAACTAAAATACATGCTTAATTTATTATTTCTAATAAATTCATATCGATCTAGGAAGATTGAAATTAACTACGATATATATGGCCAACTTAAGGCTTTAAAATAATTTGATATGGTAATCACAATAGTTCCCGGGTGCGCCGTCAAATTGTATGCATGTAAAAAATAAAAACAGTGCAAGTAATAACCTCACGTGAGTAAATTCAATCATTGAAAATGAAGAAAGAACTATTTTCTACATACTGATACAGATACGTTTTGAATTTAGTTATTATGGTCTAAGCTTAATGATCCATCACAGATTTTGTGCGTTGTACGGGCAAAAGATATTCATAAAAACGCCCTCATATCAGAAATGTTTCCATTTTGATAAAGTTGTAATACTTTGGATACTGACGTTTTAAAAACATACCTTCTTACATCAAACAGGATTTTTTTTTTTAATTTTTTACGAATAAAATTTCTACAGGAAGATACTTGAATACATTTTTTTTTTGTTACATGCACAATTTTGTTTCTTAATTTGTTTCGCTAAATATAAAAGAATCAGCCTACCAATAATTAAAACATCACGTTAACGTACAAAGAAGCATTAATAGCATAAGTTCCTCTCTTCTTTTAACACTGTATCTATTTGTTTTACAAACGCTCACTGATTTTAACATTTTGAAGACATGGAGATTTTAAATAAAAGAGACCTAATTTTTTTGACTACGGTATCTCTATTCATGCATGACATTATTAACAAAGCATAAAGCATAATGGTGAAAGCCAACTTCTTAAGTGCGCTTAAATTCTTTTTCTTAAAAAAAAAGCTTTCTCTTTTTGTCTGTATTAGCCATAATAAACGAACGGATAAATAAGCTAGGCACTGTTTTACTAATCTAAAATGTGATAGACCCAAGTGTGATTTTAAAATTTTAACAAGTACGTTTGTGTGTTCAATGACACACGATCTTTTTCCACGGAATATAATGTAAATACATTTCATTTGTTTTTAATTCTTGTGGTTACGTATCAGTAGTTATAGTTTTTGATCCTGGCTGAAAGACATAGTATAACATCAGGTAGTGAGAAAATTTGTATTAGTATCAGAGGTAAAAAACATTAAATGTTTCCACTTTTTATTTAGACATCGGTTTCCCTTTAAATAGCATACTTTAAAAAAGCTAAATAAATAAATAAAATAAAATAAAATAATAATAAAAATAGAAAGATAGACAAGACTTGTTGATAATAGCATATTCAAATGTGAAGCCCACAATATAAAATGATCACTCATAATATAATGACACTTATTGGACGGAAATATGTTTTTCCTCAAGCTCTAGGTAACATTGCTTTGGAAACTTTGAAAAAATGTAGCACACACAATAATGAGTGAAAATAATATTTTTTTGGATATATCAACGAGAATATATGTTATTAATTATAAAAAAATTGTCGCATAGTTTTCACATTTTTTTTGAAAACACAGGAGCTATATTTCTCCATTTCTCGAAAAAATAAAAAATATTTTGTGTAATTGGGTCACAAAACGACAGAAAAGGTAATTTTTTTAGGCGGTATTTTTTACTTTAACTAATAATATGTTAACAACATTTCTAAGAGAATAGGGTATCTAAGACGACAGGATTTCTAAAATGACAATATACCTCAGAATACCTGTAACTCACACAAAATAATACCTTAGACAAACAAATTTTTATGACAACAAAATCCCTATGACAACATATTATGGAGACAACCAAATAGCTAAGACGACAAGTAGATCGCCAAGACAACAGGAATGGGGGAGGGCAAGATATGCAAGGCAACTATGTATCTAAGACAACTAGATTACCACGGTACCAAGTTATTTATGACAACCAGTTAACTAGGACAATCAGGTACGTAGCAAAACAAGATATATATGACAACACGATAGTCTAGAAAAGAAGATATCTATGACAACTGCATATGTAAGGTAACATGATATATAAGGTCACAACATATCCAGGACATCATGATATCTAAGACAACAAGATCTCCTAGACAACCAGCTAACTATGACTACCAGATAATTATGACTAGGAGACAAATATAACAACTAGATAACTATAACAACTCAATATGTATCAGAACTAGATAACTATGACTAATGATCTCAATATGACAACACAGATCACTATGAATACAAAGATAACCATGACTAGCAGATCACTATGAATACAAAGATAACCATGACTAGCAGATCACTATGAATACAAAGATAACCATGACTAGCAGATATCTATAACAACACACAACTATGTCAACGAGTTAACTATGTTGAACACATAACCATGTCAACTAGAAACCTATGACAAATAAATACCTATGACAACAGGATGAACAAGCCAACTAGATTTCTATGCCAACAAAGGAATAACTGCGACAATTAGATCATTAAGACAAATACAACACTATGAAGATCAGTTATCACCATGACTATGATTAATAACCATGACTATGATTAATAACCATGACTATGATTAATAACCATGACTATGATTAATCACCATGACTAAGATTAAATACCATGACTATGAATAATCACCATGACTAAGATTAAATACCATGACTAATATTGAACACTATGACTAATATTGATAACTATGGCTAATAGTGAACACCATGACTATGATTAATAACCATGACTATGATTAATCATTACGACCGATATTGAACACTATGATTATGATTATTCAATAAGACCACGATCATCACCTAGACAACCATCCAGACATAGAAAACTATTCTCTCCTAGACAACTATCCTCACCAAGACAACCCCATGATCACCAAGACAACCCCAATGATCACCAAACAACCCATTATCACCAAGACAACGAGATTACAATTGATAATAAGAAAATAAGAATACATAGACAAGAAAGTAACTAAGACAACGAGGAAGAGGAAACAATACAAAATTTAAAAGAAAATGATAGCCATGACAACACATTAGTAACCCCCGATGAAATCTGGAATGAAAAAAACGCACGGCTATCTTACGTGGAAAAATGAGCTCGTTTCAACGGTACTATTTTCGATCCATAGAAATGAGAACTCATTGACTTATTTGGGTTTCAAATTCATCAACTATGTACACTACATTATCTCTCAGCCTACCCCTACCCAAGCCAATTTTGCCTGCCCATAGTAACCCCCGATGAAATCTGGAATGAAAAAAACGCACGGCTATCTTACGTGGAAAAATGAGCTCGTTTCAACGGTACTATTTTCGATCCATAGAAATGAGAACTCATGACTTATTTGGGTTTCAAATTCATCAACTATGTACACTACATTATCTCTCAGCCTACCCCTACCCAAGCCAATTTTGCCTGCCCATAGTAACCCCCGATGAAATCTGGAATGAAAAAAACGCACGGCTATCTTACGTGGAAAAATGAGCTCGTTTCAACGGTACTATTTTCGATCCATAGAAATGAGAACTCATTGACTTATTTGGGTTTCAAATTCATCAACTATGTACACTACATTATCTCTCAGCCTACCCCTACCCAAGCCAATTTTGCCTGCCCATAGTAACCCCCGATGAAATCTGGAATGAAAAAAACGCTTGGCTATCCTACGTGGAAAAATGAGCTCGTTTCAACGGTACTATTTTCGATCCATAGAAATGAAAACTCATTGACTTATTTGGGTTTTAATGTCATCAACTATGTACACTACATTTTCTCTCAGCCTACGCCAGCAAAGTCAATTTTGCCTGCCCATAGTACCCCGAATGAAATTTGACAAATTTCCTCAAAAATAGCTAAAAATCGTGGCATTTCAAAAATGTATAACATGACCCCCCTTGGATTGGCAGACATGTTGTTACACACGTTTAAAGTCAAAAATCCCGATTTTAAGCAGGGAAATGAAATTTACATCGTTTTTGAAATAGATTTTAGAATACACTTTAAACATCCGGCTTGGTTACGCTCTGTGCCTTTAAAAGGGCTTTCGAATGATACTAGTTTCAACGCCGTCGGACAATAATTGATTGGCTGCGAACGTTTTTAAAAATCCAAAATGGACGAAATATTTCAAACTCCGCTTTTAACTTTTTTAATTGTTCTGCAAAAAAATAATTTTTTTTAAAAAATTGACTTTTTTGGGGAATCCTGTGCGATGATTGGCTGGAAAACGGCAGGCATGAAAAGTACTAGTCTTGGATTGTTTCTAGCCGTACTCTAGGGTAAATTGTAAGGGATTGTGGTCTATTTTCATGATGAAATTGCAGAGTATTGTGCTATATAATTGTTTCTGGCTTTTTTGGTGTAAACTTATTTTTCAAGGCAGGATTCATTCATCTGGCTGACCTCTAGCATTATTATAAATGACAGCCCGGTTATATTACAGACTGTTACTTTGCTATTTTAGCTCCAATATCGAGTGCTAATATATCTTTGGCAAATTCTCATCTTGTAGAAACAGAAACTATGGGCCCTGCTACTGTTTATGTATAAAAAATAAGTGGAAATAAATAGTTTAGTTGCTTTTAGAAAAGCATATGGCTTCTGTATTACAAGTATTGGTGATTTTCAATAAGCCATAATTATATGGTCTGATACTTCTTTAAATGCAAATTTCAGGAAAAAAACTGTCGTCAATCGGTTCAACATACCCTAGACTGTCCTTGTATCATTAACATGTAAGATAAAATTAGTTTAGACGAATTGTTATCAAGTTAATAAAATAAATTACGAAATACCAAGTGATTGCATGTATGATATATATTATAACTGGGAAATACCTCGATTTAATTTAGGACTAACCAGCTCTTCTTTGAGAGGATATGGGAAGACATAGTCGAATTTAACGAAGTAAGGATGAGTACATTAAAAAAAATAATAACACTTCAGGTAGTAACTGTTTGCCAACAATCATTACTTATAAACAATTGGAATAGGTATACAATGATAAAGGAACTTCTACACTGCATATGGTGTAGACGAAACAAGAATTTATGCAGTTTCAAAAATTCCAATTGTTAAAGACATAAAAAACCCAACAACAAAGCCAAATAATATTTTCGGAAACTTTTAAAAGACTAACGCAGTCCATATCGGTTTAAGAAGACCTGCTACTTTCATGATGCAAGTACTAGAACAAAATACCAAGCATACGTCCCAACCGGAAAGATATTTGGAAAAAAGTATCTTTTAAACAAAATACAAAAAAATATTTTTCAAAAGTCGAAAAAAATTTACAACGACATGGGAATACTTTTAATAGAATTCTAAGCGTCTGCGCTCCGTACACAAACTGTTAAAAAAAGTCTATATCATAAATCAGGTCAGATAAACAAACGTCAGATACCTAACCTAATGATACCTGGGCCAAATTCACAAAAGGTTGAATTGCCACAATAATTAGCCTTCATATCATAATTATAGAAACATATTTTGTAACCATCTACGAAATGTTATGAACGAGGAACAATAATTCACGATATATCCCGAGTCTTGGGCAAAGAAACTTTCAAGTTGTGGAGTAAGTATTATTTAGGCCATAAATCTAAAGTACTAGTGTTTGTAACAGTTTTAGCATAGATCAGCTCAGTTTAAAACATGACATGAACTCCCAACAGTCATTGATGAGAAAACAATTCTTCAATTGCTCGACCACAACTTCAAAGTAAGTTACAATACTTTATTGAATAATTGCTGTAAATTGGGGAATACCTGCAACAGTCGCCTTGATTACTAGTGCAAATGTGAGCAAAATATTGTAAACACTTAACAAAATAACGAACAAGTAGCGATGATGGTATTAAAAGGAACAACAATTGGAAGGCCTTGTAATTTTTTATCACAGCGGAAAGTCTGCAATTATTTAAATAGTTTAAGCATAGTATAAAGAAATTGTAAAATACACACCAGATAAACAAATCCTGAATTCACTCATTATTGAAGAAGAAACAGTCTAAAATACTTAAAGAATTTAGAATATTGCCAGTTAATAAGTTTGACAGCTGTTTGTAATAGCCATCACTGCATATATAGTTTACATAGTATCTCCTGTATGACTCTCAAAAGTATAAAAGAGCAATACTAAGAATTCGTTGCAAGCCGAAAGAATTTGGGAAAAAAGGAAACATATGACAAAGAAAGAAAAACATTTTTCAGAAGTCAAAAAAAATTTCTAAAGACATTTGGATGGTGCTAATAGGTCTAGAATTGTTATCTGTAACTGTACAAACTATTAAAAAAAGTCTAACTAGAAAAATAATCCGTATATCCGTAACGTATTGTTCATAAATGAGTAAAATGTAAAATTTTGTTACAGAGTCACTCAATACTACTTAGTAGTAACCTACAGAGTGAGGGGTAATAACAAATGGTCTTTACAACAAGGAGATTACTTTTACGCCAAACATCTACTTTGAATTTACTTATAGAATGATCACGAGTGTGAAGGTTAAAACCCTCAAAAGATGCAGAAACAACCGGACTCTATTCGGACCATTTCAGCTAACCTTTAAACCAAATTGGAAGGGCGTGTGGTCATTATTTATAAAATAATTAGGATAAGACTGATACGAAATACAGAACATCGAACAATCCCATTAAAGCTCTACTAAATAACTGGTGAATACTGTAAATAGATTTAGTAATATCTAGCGCATGTTTATACAAAGTACACGAAAGATTAATTAAACATCGAGGAATGTGAGGGTGAAATCTTAAAAAAACCCTTACAATAGGTATGACATGAGTCAATCCATAAAATAATTCTAAGAGTAAGAGAAGAACCTTTTTTTCAACGAAATATTTTGTTGGCTAGTCCAAATAATAAATGTATTCCAGGACATCACCATTATACTGTTCAAGATAAAAATTCGGCAGGTGAATGAAAATGACTTGATATAGAGACATGTTGCTATTATCTTCTAGCCTTTAATAAGCATTTGTTGTTACCCCAACCTAGTTTGGATGATCTTTGGAAATTATAGACGGGATACTATACAAGTAGGAGTACCGTTGTCTTTTATATCTAATCTTGATGGCAAGCATCGTTTATCATAGTCAATTTTGATCCCTTTCGCTTGCAAAACTTTAGTTGTAAGCGTATACGCCTTGTTAATAACGAATTATCGAATAAAAAAATAATCCCCTTGTGTTGACCAACACAACCGAATCAAGTTCTATAAAAAAGTTGAAGGTCACTAAGCGACTTTGACTAATGATGGATAATTAAATATTCCGAAATATTTTTCTAACAAACTCTTTAGCAAAAAAATGTGGGAGAATCGCCTCGGCGTCAGGAATACGTTGGTGGTAAAGATCACGCTTAAAAGCAGCCGTGTCAAAAGTGCAAAAATGATCCCGGTGGGGGTCGAACTCCTAAACCCCGCTTTCAAAGACCGACGCTCTCCCCCCTAGGCTATAATTCTAGCGGAGTCTCGTTTTAGCAGTGTAGTACAACACACGCCTAATACTATTAATACACGTGACTTTCACGTGACATACCATGCTATTTTATGTACACACCTAAAATGTGTTTTCAACCTAAACGGACGCCTTAAACACATGTTTTTAGGTCATAACGTCCTTTGACCTTGTTCGCACATGATTAAATGCGTGATGAGATGTATAGAGTATATTGATGGACTAGGGGCTGTGATGAGTGATAAATAAATTTGTAATGACCAATGATTCACAAGACTTGTATTTTCTGACCAAAACGAACAGTGACAATTAGCCAGAGTTACTTTAGCATTATACGAAGACTTTTTCCATTACGCCAGAGGTAAGCAGAATATGAATGGACACAATAGCGAATAAAATATTTTATAAAATATCATAAAAAGAGCAATATTGGGAATTTAAATTGAGAAAGATGGTTTTGTATAACGGTAACTACATGCATCGTTAAAGTAAGATCTTCTACAAGGCTCCTAAAAGTTTCAAAGCAAAATAACAAAATTCCTTTCCTAGCCGAAAGAAATTGGAAAAACGGACACATAACACAAAACAGAAAAATAATTTTAAAAGTCGAAAAAATTTTCTAAGGACATGGGAAAACTTGTATTACGTATAAAATTGTATTCTTTATGTCTACATTTTATTTAAAAAAGTCTAGCCCAAAAAATAAAATGTTTGTAAACGAAATAGAGGTAGTAACTGAGTAATATGAAGAGATTTATTAGAGAGTAGCTCAAAATTTAATAGTAGCAACCTGTTAAGAAAGCGGTAACAGTTAATATGCTGGAATGGAAGAAGATTACGTATAAACCCAACCATTTTCTGTGATTTGTTAATAACATGATCACCGATTATAAGTCTACTTGTGAAAAGACAATAATGCATGAAAAGCGATTGAATTTGTTTAAGAGCATTTTAGCCAATTTTTAACTAAATAAGAGGACCTTTTGATCATTGTTAGTACCTCGGATGAAGGTCGACATAAAATATAAAGTATAAGAACATATATTTAATGACTTGCTTAACAAACGAGGCGTAATACAAAGACTGTAAGTAGTATGTAGCGCATCTATGTACAAAATGTAAGGAAGATTGATTTAAAACGAGAAAGAAGTAGTCAAACTATTATGAAAATACAACAGTCGATACGACATGACTATTTCCATGATAAAAAGAAGTGAAGGACTATTGTATAACTTAAGAGAACAATAAACCTTACGTACACTACAACCAACATCAGCAGATGTAAATAGAAGCGGTAGAGAATTAAGTACTTTATATTATAACAGAAATGACTCCAAAGATCACCTTATCAGCAAATAATAATTGCTAAGTCATCTTGACACAATCTCAACAGGGCAGGTTGTAGCAGCCGTATCTTCTAAGAAACTTCTCCAAGTTTGTGGACAAATGGCATATAATTGGTCGCAAGCCGAAGAAAATAGTGCACGGAGGATAAGCCAAAAAAAAATTTGTAAGAAGTCGAAAAAAATTTATAATGACTTGGGAATTACTTTAATAAGATGAGAATTCACAAATGTACGTATGGGTATTGTTAAAAAAAGTCTAGCCGAACACAAAAAGATACAAAAGTGAAAAAACTCATAAATACTATGTCGAAAGACAGTTTTAGGCAATGGTATTTTAATGAATAAGTGTGCCATTTATTTAGAGGTGTGTAAGTTTATTACGGAGAGGATCCGCGAGAATAAGGAGCAGAGCCGAAAGAAATTAGAAACAATAAATACTTAAGATAAAAGGACAAAGAAAAATATCAAAAGTCGAAATAATTTCAGAACTTCTAACAAATACTGGTAATGTTTTCAAGATAGTACGTAGTATTTATCTAAACAACGAAAAAAGGCTAGATATACAAAAGTTTTGAGATAATGACAAAGTCGTATAGTATTATAATGACAATTGTTTCAATGGTTCCCAAGTATAGTAAATATTGAGGTTGCATACTCTACAAAGCTATAAATAATTCTTTAAAGACAAATAAGATACTGAGGATGAGAAATGGCGGCAACTAGATAAAATTATATCCAAAAAATATTGTTGACAAGTAATAATTTAGAACAGCAGCGCCTCTAACACGATTTAAAACGAAGGACGTCTTAATATCCAACATGATATTGTTGTTTCTAAGACGACACAGCAACCAAGACACGAAGTAACGTGGACAACAAAGACGTGAATGTAACAAATAATCAATAATACACGACATCATGCATACTCAATAGCCAAGGCAACCAAGAAGCGAATACAACCCAATACGGATTACAACAATATCCAAGCCAACAAAATTTTGATACCAAATAACCAAGACGACAATATCCAAGACAACCAGATATTCCGGTTACCAAATAACCTAGACAATATGGTATCCTAGATACCAAATAACCAAGGCAATAAAGAAATATAGATGACATAATTTCGAAGACAACACAATTTCGGAACAACATGGTATCATGGAGACACCATTCTCAAGACAACGACTAAACGCAGACAGCAAAAAATAAGTTGGACAACAAAGAAACAAAGACAACGCAGTCTCCAAGACAACAAGGGGTCGAAGAAAACAAGGTAACTAAGAGAACAATATGATCAACACACCATAATATGTAAGAATACAACGAAATTAGGCCAACAGCGTGAGTAAGGAAACAGGGTATCCAAGACAACATGATATCTTTGACAAGTAGAAATATACGACAGCTAGATACATTAGTCAGCGAGATATCTATGGGAACCAAGTCCAAGGCAACGGGGTATCTAAGCGAATAATCTATCTAGGGCAACCAAGTATCCAAGGTAAAAATATCAAAAGCCAACCAGGTATCTAGGGTAAGTGTATCTAAGACAACCAGATATCTAAGACGACTAGGCAGCAAGAACTCCAGGACATCCAAATAGTCAAGGCAACAAAGTATTTAAGACAACGAAACAAGTAGTAAAACCACATGACTATGGCAACAGGATATCTCAGAGAAGAAGATATCTAAGACAACCCAATACCTATAATAATAATATACCTAAGAGTACCAGTAACTAAGACAACAATATAACTTGGGCAAAACGATGCCTAAAGCAACGGAATCTCCAAGACAACATAATATGAACGACAACTAGATATCCAAGGCAACTAAATAACTAAGAAAACCAATTAAGTAGGACGACATTATTAGTATGAGATCACGATATCATGGATACTAAATAGCCAAGACAACAAAGAAGTGAAGACAACAAAGAAGCGAAGCGGACCTAATATGGAAAACAACGGTATCCAAGACAGCATGATGTCCTGGTTGCTACACAACCAAGACAGCTACGAAGACTAAGCAACACAATAACCTAGACAATATGACATACTTGACATTGAAGAAAGAAGTAAAGTAAGGTAACCAAGACAACGAGACTATCAGGATAATAAGAAAATAAGAATACACAGACAAGAATGTAACTAAGACAACAATGAAAAGGAAACAATACAAAACTTAAAAGGAAATAATGTCCATGACACCACATTAACCTAGACAACAATATAACAAAGATAAGAACGTATGCAAGACAACGGGGATAACTATGGCAGCAAAAGATCTATGACAACAGGATAACCAAGGGTACTAAGCAAATAAGATGTCACAAAGACAACTGGATAACCATGACAGCATAATTACCATGCCATTAAAATATAGCTATGGATATTATCGATCACTATAACAATATTTGATAACCATGACGAATATGATCACTATGGCAAATAATGATCACTAGGACTACACAAATAATAACCTAGACAAATCTATCACCATCGAAAACAATGATGCATACGACAACTGTGTTACCTACGACAACCATAAGACCTACGACAACCATGTTGCCTATGACAACCATGTTGCCTACGACAACCATGTTGCCTACGACAACGATGTTGCCTACGACAACGATGTTGCCTGACTACAGTACCCCAGGAATGAACCCCTCAGTATGAAATTTGTAACAATTTGTAACAATTTGTAACAATTTGTAACATTTGCAAAAATGTGACTAGAAACTTCGGATTTTCAATATTATGATGTTACTGGACATAGAGAACAACATTAGGACCGGACTTTTCCTTCTAAAGTCCGATCCCGACGAGATATACACAATGTTACAAATTGCGAAAAATCCAAAAATGTAACTACCAACAGCGGATTGTCAATATTATGACGTAACTTGACAAGGAGAACAACATTAGGCCCGCATTTTTTGTTCTAAAGTCCGATCCCGACGAGATATACCAATGTTACAAATTGTTACAAATCCAAAAATGGCCATACTCAAGCCGCATTTTTACATAGTATGACATAAATTGATACGCTGAACAACATTTGACTGAGACATTTTTTTCTAAAATTAAATCCCGACGAGATACTGATCAATCAATCCAAAGTTACAAATTGTTACAAATTGTTACAAATCCAAAAATGTCCATACTCAAGCCGCTTTTTTACTTAGCATGACGTAAATGGACGCGCTGAACAACATTAAACTGTAACATTTTTCTCTAAAATCAAATCCCGACGAGATACTAATCATTCAATGGCAAAGTTACAAATTGTTACAAATTGTTACAAATCCAAAAATGTCCATACTCAAGCCAATTTTTTACTTAGTATAACGTAAATGGGCGCTCTGAACAACATTAAACTGAGATATTTTCCCCTAAAATCAAATCCCGACGAGATACTAATCATTCAATGGCAAAGTTACAAATTGTTACAAATTGTTACAAATCCAAAAATGTCCATACTCAAGCCGATTTTTTACTTAGTATGGCGTAAATAGGCGCGCTGAACAACATTAAACTGTAACATTTTTCTCTAAAATCAAATCCCGACGAGATACTGGTCATTCAATGCCAAAGTTACAAATTGTTACAAATTGTTACAAATCAAAAAATGGCCATACTCAAGCCGCTTTTTTATGTAGTATGACGTAAATTTATACGCTGAACAACATTAAACTGCAACATTTTTCTCTAAAATCAAATCCCGACGAGATACTAATCATTCAATGCCAAAGTTACAAATTGTTACAAATTGTTACAAATCCAAAAATGGCCATACTCAAACCGCTTTTTTACATATAACGTAAATGAATACGCTCAACAACTTTAAACTGAGATATCTTGCTGTAAAATCAAGTCCCGACAAGATAATGATGAAACTTTGTCAAAGTTACAATGTTACAAATTGTTACAGATCCAGACATCTCCATACTCAAGCCAAATTTTGTCATAGTGTAACGTAAACAAACACGTAGAACAACATTTAACGGAAGAGAATTTATATAAAATGAAATACCGAAGAAATATTGGTCAATATTTGCAGAAAATATCGTATATGAAAATGTTAAAAATTCTAAAATGCTTATACTGAAACTGCATTTCCAAAAGCACAACGTAAATTTAGACCTACAAGAACCTTTAACTGAGTTATTTTGTTCTAAAATGTAATCCCAACGATAAATTAATCACTTTGTACTTGACTATTTCTTATGTTTACAGCCAAAGGATGCAATGTGCCTGGCCATTTAATTTATGAAATGCTTAATAAGCAAAAATTACAGTACATACTTTAAGCTATATATAACAAATATTAATCGAAATATAAAAATGGTGATCAAATATTCACAAAGTAGTGGTAACATTATTGAAACACCCACAGCACGTGAAGCAAAACTGTTTGGACCAGGAAAACTAGTAAAATATACTTGACATAATTTTAGCAAACGGTGGAGACTGTTGGTACTGAACATTAGAGAAACTGAAGATAAAATTATGTGATATTCATGAGAGTACCTTACGAAATAAAGAGAAAAATAACAGTTTCTTTCAATAATATTTTTTCTGACACTGTTTTGGAGCAACCAATATTATGCAGATAGTTGAATAAACGGTTCTTAATTAGCTGTTCAAAGAATTGAAAATAAATACCATTAATTAGTCACAAGCCGAAAGATTATTTGATAAAATTATACTTTAGACAAAAGAAAAAAATATTTCTCAGAAATCGAAAATGTTTTATAAATGCTTGGAAATAGATTTGATACAAGAACAATAATCCGATGATTGTGTTTCAACTGTTAAAAAAAGTATCTCTCATAGAGCAGGTCGGACACAAGACAGTCAAGTACATAGAACACAAAATACTTATTGAAAAGTAAGCAAAAGTTGGACTGCCACAGTAATTGGCCTTCTTATAACAATTTTAAAATCATATTCATTAACCATCTACGAAATATAATGAACAAAGAAAAAAATTGGAAAAAATAACCCGAGTCTTGGGCAAAAAAACATTCATGTTGCAGAGTAAATGCTAATTATACGCTAAGTCTAAACTAGTTGCATTCTTAACAGTTTTAGCATAGACCAGTTCAGTTTAAAACAAGATATGAACACCATAAAGTCATCGAAGATAAAATGATTCTCCAATTGATAGACCAAAAGTTCAAAGTAAGTTACAATACTTTATTGAATAAATATCATAAATTGAGGAATACCTGCCGCAGTTGCAGTGATAACCAGGGCAACTGTGAGCAAAATACAGCAAACATTTAACAAAATAACAAACAGGTAGCGATGATGGTATTAAAATGACCAACAATTGGAAGGCCTTGTAATTTTTTATCACTGCGCAAAGTACGCAATTATTTAAATAGTTTAAGCATAGTATAAAGACCTTATAAAATATACGCCAGATAAGCAGATCAAGAATTCACTCATTATTGAAGAAGAAACAGTCTAAAATACTTAAAAAACTGAGAATACTGCCAATGAACAACTTTTAAAGCAGTTTTGAATAACTGGCACATTATGTATAGTTTACGTATTATCTTCTACACGACTCCTAAAAGTTTCAAAGGATAATCTCAAGATTTCGTTCCAAGCCGAAAGAAATTAGGAAATAAAAGACTGAAGAAAAAAACAGAAATATATTTCTCAAAAGTCGTAAAAATTTTATCATGACATGGGAGTAATTTTAATGTGTTTGGAATAGGCAAATGTAGATATGCTAATATTTGAAAAAAAGTCTAGCTGGACAAAAAAGTGTACAAAAGGGAACAAATCATGAAATTATATGTCTAAAGACAGTTTTATTCAATGACACCTTAATAAATTAGTCTGTCATTACTTTACACATGTGTCGGCTGAATATGAGGAGTGACTATTAAGATAAAGACCAGAGCCAAAAGAATTTTTAAAAGTAACGAAATGTTTTTCAGATTTCGAGTATAGGAAAAGACTTTATTTTAATCGTGAAAAACTCTCCAACTTAGAATAGACCCTCATTTTCTTACCTGCTTTCGTTTTTTAGTACCTTTCCCTTTTTAATAGTCAATTATCTGATAATGTATTTTGATCAGTTATATTTCAACCAGGCATGACTATAGTATTAAAGAAGATCAAAGATGCTTTAATCTTGTTTAACGGTGTTCATCTACATTATACTGCTCAAGATAAAAGTTCCGCAAGCGAATGAAAATGACTTGATATAGAGACAACTTGCTATTATCTTCTAGCCTTTAATAAGCATTTGTTATTACCCCAACTTAGTTTGGATGATCTTTGGAAATTATAGACGGAGTAGTATACGAGTAGGAGTACAGTTGCCTTTTATATCTAATTCTGATGGCAAGCATCGTTTATCAGAGCCCATTTAAATCCCTTCCCCTTGCAAAACTTTAGTTTTACGCGTATACGCCTTGTTAATAACGAATTATCGAGTAAAAAAATAATCCCCTTGTTGACCAACACAACCGAATCAAGTTCTATAAAAAAGTTGTAGGTCACTGACTGATTTTGAATAAAGATGGGAAATTAAATATTCCGAAATATTTTTCTAACAAAATCCCTAGCAAAAAAATGTGGGAGAACCGCCTCGGCCTCAGGAATACGCTGGTGGGGAAGATCACGCTTAAAAGTAGTCGTGTCAAAAGTGCAAAAAATGATGCCGGTGGGGGTCGAACCCCTAAACCCCGCTTTCAAAGACCGACGCTCTCCCCCCTAAGCTATAATTCTGGCGGAGTCTCGTTTTAGCAGTGTAGTACAAGACACGACTAGTATTATTGATACACGTGACTTTCACGTGACATACCATGCTATGTTATGTTCAGGCCTAAAATACGTTCCCAACCTAAACGGATGCGTTAAACACGTGTTTTTATGCCATATAAACGTGCTTTGATCTGTTATGCACTTGATTAACTGCATGACGAGATGTATAGAGTAGACTGATTGACTAGGGGCTGTGATGAGTGAAAAATAAACTTGTATCGACCAATAATCGATAAACTTGTAAGTTTTGACTAAAACGAACAGTCACAATTAGTCGGAGTTACTTTAGCATTATACGAAGACTGTTTTCATTACGCACGAGGTAAGCAGAATTTGAATGGACAAAATAATGAAGGAAATACTTTATAAAATATCTTAAAAAGAGCCATATTGCCAATTAAAACTTTAAAAGACGTTTTGTATAACAACAGCTGCACGCCTAGTTAAAAAAAACATCTTCTGCATGACTCCTAAAAGTTTTAACGCAAATTATCAAGATTCCGTTCCTAGCCGAAAGAAATTGGAAAAATGGACACATAAGACAAAAACAGAAAAATACTTTTCAAAACTCGAAAAAATTTTCTAAGCCCATGGGAATACTTTTACTAGGTCGAAAATTGTAATGTTTATGTCTACAGTTTGTTTAAAAAAGTCTAGCCGGCATAATAAACTGTTTATAAATGTACTTGACGTAATAATTGAGTGATATGAAGAGATTTATGACGGAATCACTCAAAATAAAATAAAATAGTAGCAACCTGTACAAAGAGTGAGAATAGTGAATCTGTTCAACTAGAAGTAGACTAAATTTACGTCAAACCATTACTTGGCATTCATTAATAAACTATTCACCAAGTATGGATCTACAGGTATCAAAAACCAAAAGCACAAATAACTGTTGGATTAGTTTAAGAATATTTGAGCCTAAGTCATAACTAAATTAGAGGTCCTTGAGTTCTTTTTTTTATCATAGATAAGATGATGGATAAAAGGAATTACAAAAATTAAGACCATATATTTAATGACTTACATAATAACAGAGGACTAATTAAAAAAGGTAATTAGTATCTAGCGCATCTATTGCACAGAATTGAAACATGATTTATTAAAAAACGAGAGAGAAGTTGCCAAAGTATTAAAAAATCCCAACAATTAATATGACAAGACTCCTTGCTCGAGGAGAACAAGTGAAAACCTATTGCATAACTTGAGATAATACAAAACACTACCTAAACGGCAAACAACGTCTGCCAAGGCAAATAATGACCGTATAGAATTAATACTTTATAAAATAACCATAAAAGTTACAATATCACCAAATAATAATTCCTAAATCATCTTGACACGACGGTAACAAGGCAAGTAGTATCAGCCGTATATTCTAAGAAACTCCTCCAAGTTTGAAGACAAACGACAAACAATTGGTCGCAAGCCGAAAAAAATAGTGCTACAAGGATAATTCAAAAAAAACATTTGTAAGAAGTCGAAAAAATTTATAATGACTTGGGAGTTACTTTAATAAGATGAGAATACACGAATTAAGGGATGGCTACAGTTAAAAAAAGTCTAGCCGAACAAAACGGTTAAAAAACTGAAAAAAAAGCATGAATTACTATGTCTAAAGACAGATTTAGGCAATGGAATCTTAATGAATATGTCTGCCATTCAATTGGAGGTGTGTGAGCTTATTATAGAGAGGATCTACAAGAATAAGGACACAGCTGAAAGAAATACGAAACAATAAATACTTAAGATAAAAGGACAAAAAAAAATATCAAAAGTCGAAATAATTTTAGAGCTTCTAAAAACCACTGTTAAAGCCTTCAGGATAGTACATAGTATGTACCTAAAGGACAAAAAAAAGTTATTTATAAAAACGTTTTAATAGAATGACAAAGTCGTATAGTATTATAATGCGCAATAGTTTCAATGTTTCGCAACTAAATAAATATGAATGCTGCATACTCTACATAGCTATCAATAATATTACAAGACAACTAAGATATGTGGACAAGAAATAATTTAAGGCAATAGCGTTTCCAACAGGAGTAAAACCGCAAAAACAATAGTAACCCCCGATGAAATCTGGAATGAAAAAACGCACGGCTATCCTACGTGGAAAAATGAGCTCGTTTCAACGGTACTATTTTCGATCCATAGAAATGAAACGTCATTGACTTATTTAGGTTTCAAAGTCATAAACTATGTACACTACATTATCTCTCAGCCTACGCCTACCAAAGCCAATTTTGCCTGCCCATAGTAACCCCCGATGAAATCTGGAATGAAAAAACGCACGGCTATCCTACGTGGAAAAATGAGCTCGTTTCAACGGCACTATTTTCGATCCATAGAAATGAGAACTCATTGACTTATTTGGGTTTCAAAGTCATCAACTATGTACACTACATTATCTCTCAGCCTACCATACCAAGCCAATTTTGCCTGCCCATAGTAACCCCCGATGAAATCTGGAATGAAAAAAACGCACGGCTATCCTACGTGGAAAAATGAGCTCGTTTCAACGGT